CCCCCCCCCGCCCAGTGTCCTCTTTTTTGATTGTGGAAATATGGTAACCCTACCCCAGGCCCCATTCCCTGTCCCAGCCAGTGGGTGAAATATTTCTGCAAACGCCAGCTGCCCAGAGCTTGTCCCACTCTCCCAGGCGATACAGAACCTCCCTCCGGGGCGCTCTCCTCTTCATGTCACTCCCCAGCCCCGTAACTCAGCCTCCCGCCACCTCTGTGCCCTCCAGCTGCTGCGCGATGCCCCCTCCCCTGCCCAGCAGCTGTGCTCGCCCTGACCCAGAGCACCCAGCCCAGCCTGATCTCGCTGTCACTGGGAGCTGATCTCACAGGGGGCAGAGCTGGGATAGAGCCCAGGAGTCCCGGCTCCCAGCCTCTGTCCCCCACTCCCCCGGCTCTAACCCACTAGACCCCACTCCCCTCCACGAGCCGGGGATAGAACCCAGGAGTCCTGAGCCCCGTATACACAGAGGAATGAGTCACTCACCTGCAGTACTTTACCCATGTTCATCGGCTGGCTGTAGATGTGGGATTGCCTGGTGCCATCCGGAGAGCCCGGGCACACCTCGGTGGGGGCACTGCCATGGAAAAAGAGACCGTTAGGGGGGCTGGGGATGGCGCGAGGGCATTTGGTTGCTAGCGTTGGGTCGGCTGCAGCGCCGTGGCTGGGGATTGGACAGGCTGCGTCGGTCACAGCGTAGAACCCCTGTGGGTCAGTGGCTGGGGGGACCCCTGGGCTAAAGCTCCCAAAGCAGACATGAGTCATGGATTTGGGGAATGGGGAATGGGGCCTTTCCTCTCTAGGGGGCACTGGCTCCAATCCAGCCCCAGAGAGGGGGACTGGCTTGCTTGGGGGGGGGGACAGGGAAGGGGGCACAGGGCCTTTCCCTTCTAGAGCAGTGGTCCCCAAACTGTGGGGCACAGCACCATAGGAGGGCATTTAGGAACTTTCAGGGCAGTGCGGCGGGGCCAGCCCCCATGGGGGGCAGAGAGGAAGCCCCACCCAGCCCTTCTCTGCCCCAGCTGCAGCTCCAGCCCCAGTCCCTACCCCAGCTCCTGATCGCGGCTCTGGCCCCGCTCCCAGTAGGGGAGGGGGTGGGGTGCGGACCGATTCCATTATGGGTCAGGCAGGGCGCGACAGAAACCGTTTGTGGACCCCTATCTACAGAGTGCTGGCTCCGATCCAGCCCCCACCCCGAACAGTGCTCATCCCTCCAGCAGGGCACCCCACACGCACACCCACCCACCCACCCAGCAGTAGCTGTATCAAGCTCACCCTTGGCGACATTCTCCTAACGTGTGGGCACCGCCCCACACCCAGCCCCTGCACAGTAGATCACAGCCAGGCTCTGCTGTTACCTGGGGGCCCTGGGTGGGGCCAGGCGGGCTGGTTTCCCCATGCCATGGTGCTGGGTGTTCTCATAGATGCGATCAGACATCGGGGTCTCCCCCGGGCCCGGCGGGTGCTGCAAGACAGGCAGAAGTGAGGCCGTGAGCCACTGCTCTGGGACTGCTCGGTGATGTGTAATAACAACAGAAAATGAACATAGCCCCCCCCCCCCAGATAAACGACCCAGGGGATTGGAAATACCTTCTGTCCTGCTCGGGGGGGAGGGGGGATTTTATAATCCTGTTCTATGGAGGGGAAACTGAGGGACAGAGCTCATCTAAAGTCATGCAGCGAGTCAACAGCAGAGCTAGGGAGAGAACCCAGGCGTCCTGGCTCCCAGCCCCATAGACGCACTTACCGGATTGCTGCTCATTCCCTGGCGTTTGCGCTGCATCTTCCTACAAATAAAGGAGACCAACAGCTCAGAGGCAAAACATCATCTGCTTCGGTTCAGGGGGGGAAGAACAGGACAAAGGCTCCCACAATATAGAACCTCCTGCCTGGGCTTGTCCCCGGCTCTCCTGACGCTCAGCCCAGCCGTTTAACCAGGAGGCCGCCCAGCCCTTCCCAGGCCCCTCGCGGGAGTCAGGTATCTGTGTGGGACCCAACCACCACCATTCAATCACCTCCCCCCAACTGGGTTTCCATGCATCTGATCTGGCTCTGCAATTCTCAGCCCTGGATTGCGCGGGGTTCTCCGGCAAAGGCCGGTGGGAGGAGCTGGGGATTGCCAGAGATCAGAGACGTGGATATTACCGGTTTGCCAAAGCGAAAATACCTCCAAGCTATGACGCCGACCAGTCCCACCAGCAGCAACAGGACAAGCACAACTGTAGGTCCTATGATGTACGCGGGAGCCCCGGGGACTGAAAAGGAGAAAGGAGGGTTATTGGATCAACCCTGCAGCAGAGTTTGGAACCCTGTTTGCTGATGGATGGCAGCTGGGTAAGAACCACACAGTGAGGATGGATGGGGATGGATCATGACACGTGGTGCTAAGATGCAGCCAGCTCTGGGGCGGGGCAGCTTGGTAACAGCCGCACAGCAACGCTGCACGGGCATGGCTCGCTCAGCACTGAGATTCAGCTGCCTCTGGGAAAAGGCAGCAGGTCAATAGCCATACGGGGATGGCTCACCTGGTGCTGAGATGCAGCCACTTCTGGGGTGAGCGCAGCAGTAAGGTGAGGACACATGTAGGGTGCAGGAAGGACGTAGGACCTAACACAACAGCTGGCAGAAAGGGAATTGGGAGCAAAGGCTGAGTCTTGGGAGCTGTAGCATGGGATTGTATCCTCCCCACGCTGCACCAACCTCAGCCGGTTCCACTGATCTGCCGCAGGAGCAAAGTGAATCTGGCAGGATTTGAACCCGCGGCTTTGGAGCCATCAGACCTGATGCTCAGTCACGAAGCCCCCCCTCCCAGCCTCCTCTATAGGCTGTGCTACCCAGCTGGATTACATCTCCCAGGATGCACCACTATCTCCCCTCGAGGTGATGGGAAGGGTGCCTCATAAGAATCCATAGCCAGGGTGCATCATGGGAGATATAGTCCCGCCAGAGATTCTGGCCCACAGAAGAGAATGGTGAGCACGAGGCACCTAAACTACAACTCCCATCAGGCCATTTTCAATGGAAATATTTCAGTTTTTGACATTTCTATGAAAAGTGGAGCTTTCCCACTGGGGCAAAAAAAGTAATTTCCTGGCCAGCTCTATTAGAAACTTCTTTTCTAAATGAAAACCAGAATCTCACAAAATCCCATCATTCCATGTGTGTCATAGGAGTCCTTCGGTGTGGTGCATCATGGGACTTGCAGTTCCCGTGCCTCACATTCTCAATCTCCTCTGTCAGCCGGGCTGTCTGGCTGAACTAGATCTCCGCGGATGCACCACCTGCTCCCCTCTTGGTGCAGAGACGGGCACTTCATTGGAATCACTGGCTGTGGTGCATCATGGGAGACGTAGTCCAGCCCCTGCCTGTTTGATTAAAGGGCTGGAGGAATCACACCCAGCCTCCCTGAGACCTCTGGCAAAGGCAATGATGAGGACAGGGACGGATGATCCATAGAATCTAAGGGCAGAAGGACCAGCTGGGTGACACAGGCCCCAGGACTCCCCTGAATTCATCCCCGTTTGAATGAGAGCAGATCCTTTAGCAAAACATCCCAGCGTGATTTAAACATTCCCCAAGACGAAGAATCCACCACGTCCCGAGATCGTTGTTTCAATGGCAAATTCTCCTCCCTGTTCAACATTTGCACCTTATTGCCAGTCTGAATTTGTCTAGCTTCAGCTTCCAGCCCCTGGATCTCGGTCTGCTCGGCCGCCGGGCCCATTATCAACGTTCTCTTCTCCGCGTAGGATCTTCCAGACGGGGCTCACGTCCCCCCTTCCCCTTCCCTTGGTTCAGCTAAACAGACAGAGTCCTGGAGTCTCTCGCCCTAGGGCAGGTTTTCCAACCCCTGACTCCTTCTCCTGGCTCTTCTCTGACCCCTCCCCAGCTGATCAGCACCTCCTGGGAGTGCGGGCCCCAGAACTGGGCACAGGACCCCGGCCGCGGTCGCACCAGGGCCAGATCCAGGGGAAAATCCCCTCTCTGCTTGATTCCAGATTGCCCTGTTCATGCACCCCAGGATCGTGCTAGCCCTGCTGGCCACCGCGGCGCTGGGAGCTCCTGATCCACCAGGATCGCCACAACGACCCTCCCGCCCTGGGCCTACGGCACAAAGGCCCAACCCCAGCCCCTCCCCCACCCCGGAGGTCTCTTTTCACACGTTCTTAGCACTTACACCGGACAGTGATGGTGATGGGGGAAGACCGGGACTGGCCGATCCCATTGGTAGCCTGGCAGCGATACTCCCCAACCTGTTCTGCCGTGATTCTCTTCAACACCATTTCCTGCTGGGATCCCTCCAGCTGCTGGCTGCCCCGGTACCAGGTGTAGGAGTTGGGGGCGGGGAGGCTGCTGTTGTAACTGCATGTTAGCATCACCGATTCCCCTTCCTGCGGGCTGGTGCCCGGCGCTGCCGTAACGCGGACACCTTTGGGGGCATCTGTGGGGTGAGACGGAGACATGGGGCGTGAACAGAGAGAGACAGAGGGGGGGGACCTGGCCCAGAGGGGGGAAGGGATCCAGGGCATGGGGTGAGGGGCAGGGCCTGGCCCATGTGGCTCCAGGGTGCCAGAACAGGCAGGGTGGCATGAGGATAGCGGGCTGGATTCGAACCCGTGGCTTTGGAGACAGCAGACATGATGCTCAGATGCAAAGCCCTCCCCTCCCAACACCCCGAGCCTCCTCTATAGGCTGTGCTACCCACCTGGATTACATCTCCCATGATGCACCACTATCTCCCCTCCTGGTGATGGGAAGGGTGCCTCATAGGAATCCATAGCCAGGGTGCATCATGGGAGATATAGTCCCGCTAGAGATTCTGGCCCACAGAAGAGAATGGTGAGCATGAGGCACCCAAACTACAACTCCCATCAGGCCATTTTCAATTGAAATATTTCAGTTTTTGACATTTCTATGAAAAGTGGAGCTTTCCCACTGGGGAAAAAAAATCATTTCCTGGCCAGTGCTACTAGAAACTTTTTTTTCTAAATGAAAAACAGGATCTCACAAAATCCAATGATCCCAAGCGTATCATAGGAGTCTTTTGGTGTGGTGTATCATGGAACTTGCAGTTCCTATGCCTCACGTTCTCAGTCTCCATATTCGGCCGGGGTGTCTGGCTGCACTACATCGCCTTCGATGCACCACCTGCTCCCTCTTGGTGTGGGGAGGGGCGCTTCATTGGAATCACTGGCTGTGGTGCATCATGGGAGACGTAGTCCAGCCCCTGCCAGTTTGATTAAAGGGCTGGAGGAATCACAACCAGCCTCCCCGAGACCTCTGGCAAAGGCAGCAATGGGCACAGGGACGGATGATCCATAGACTCTAAGGCAGAAGGACCAGCTGGGTGACACAGGCCCCAGGACTCCCCTGAATTCATTCCCGTTTGAACGAGAGCAGATCCTTTAGCAAAACATCCCAGCGTGATTTAAACATTCCCCCAGACGGAGAATCCACCACGTCCCCAGATCGTTGTTTCAATGGCAAATTCTCCTCCCTGTTCAACATTTGCACCTTATTGCCAGTCTGAATTTGTCTAGCTTCAGCTTCCGGCCCCTGGATCTCGGTCTGCTCGGCCGCTGGGCCCATTATCAACGTTCTCTTCTCCACATAGGATCTTCCAGACGGGCTCACGTCCCCCCTTCCCCTTCCCTTGGTTCAGCTAAACAGACGGAGTCCTGGAGTCTCTCACTCTAGGGCAGGTTTTCCAGCCCCTGACTCCTTCTCCTGGCTCTTCTCTGACCCCTCCCCAGTTGATCAGCACCTCCTGGGAGTGCGGGCCCCAGAACTGGGCACAGGACCCCGGCTGCAGTCGCACCAGGGCAAGTTCCAGGGGGAAAATCCCCTCTCTGCTCGATTCCAGATTGCCCTGTTCATGCACCACTGGATCGCACTAGCCCTGCTGGCCACCACGGCACTGGGAGCTCCTGGTGAACTCATGATCCACCGTGATCGCCACGACGACCCTCCCGCGCTGGGCCTACGGCACAAAGGCCCAACCCCAGCCCCTCCCCCACCCCGGAGGTCTCTTTTCACACGTCCCCGGCACTTACACCGGACAGTGATGGTGATGGAGGAGGACTGCGACTGGTTGATCCCATTGGCGGCCTGACAGTGATACTCCCCAGCCTGCCCCGCCGTGATGCTCTTCAACACCATTTCCTGCCGGGATCCCTCCAGCTGCCGGCCGCCCCAGTACCAGGCGTAGGAGTTGGGGGCGGGGAGGCTGCTGTTGTAACTGCACGTTAGTGTCACCGATTCCCCTTCCTGTGGGCTGGTGCCCGGCGCTGCCGTAACGCGGACACCTGTGGGGGCGTCTGTGGGGTGATGCGGAGACACGGGGCGTGAACGGGGAGAGACAGAGTGGGGGGGACCTGGCCCAGAGGGGGGAAGGGATCCAGGGCAGGGGGTGAGGGGCAGGGCCTGGCCCATGTGGCTCCAGGGGGCCAGAACAGGCAGGGAGGCAGGGGGATAAGGGGCAGGAGTCCCCCAGAAATTTTTGGGGGCTCAAGACCGTTGGTGGGGGGACAGAGACGGTCCCAGAGGGGTCTGGGGACACAAGGCAGGTGGAGGGGCAGGGCCTGGCACAGAGGCGTCAGGACACCCAGGAAGGTGGGAGGGGACAGGGTCTAGCTCAGTGTGGAATGGGGCCCCAGGGCAGGTGGTGGGATGGGCAGTGGTCCGGAGGGGGCTGGGGGCCCAGGGCAGGTGTGGGGGGCACACAAACTGAATTTGTTGCTGCTGGGGCCAGCCATGGGAGCGATGCAGAGGAGCAGGGGGGCCCAGCCCAGAGCCAGCAGCACTGGGGTTGACCAAACCCTGGTATTAGGAGGCGGGGGCGGAATATGAGGCTGGGGCTAATGAGGTGAGCAGGGACGAAAGAGGGGGGATGAGGTGGGGGCACATGGGGCTGCTTCAGGAGGCCGTGTGGGGAGTATCGGGGGTTGCGAGGGAGGAGGCTCCCTCCAGCCTTCGATACTTACGCTGAACTATGACCGATTCCCTCGCAGAGAGGCTCAGATACCCCCAGCCGGGGCCGGAGACCCAGACCCCGCACGCGTAGCTCCCTCCATCAGAGACGGCTGCCTTGTCAACACGTAAATCCTGCCCGGCTTCTGGCAGCCACACGTCCCCGTGGGACCAGACGTACCCGGCGACGGGCCACAGGGCAGCAGCCTGACAGCGGAGGGTAAAACCGTCGCCTTCCCTTAGCGCTGTCTGCCCTGCCGGCCATGAAACCTCGACCCTGAGCACGTTGGAGGTGGCTGAGGGCGACAGTCGGGTGAGAGTTTGTCAGAGGGGCCCCGGGACTGAGCAAAGGGGCAGGTCCCTCCCCGTCCCGTCCCACGGGGCAAGAATATTTGCTAGAGCCAGGTGACAGCTTTTGAGGGAATAGAACCCAGGAGTCCTGATTCCCAACCCCACCCCTGCTCTTACCCACTCCCCTCCCAGAGCTGGGGAAAGAACCCAGGAGTCCTGGCACTGAGTCTCCCCCACTTTAACCCACTAGACCCCCCCCTCCCCAAAATGGCCACTAGTCCCTACTCCTCTCCCCTCCCTGTGTCAGGGATAGAACCCAGGTGTCCTGGCTCCCCCCCCTCCATGCTCTACCCATGCCATGTCTAGCAGCAGAGCTCACCTGTCCCCAGGGGATGGGATTGGTCAGAGTCACACTCATCCCTGTATCCATCCACCTGGCATCTCAGCGCTGCGCCGGGGTCCAGCTGGGACGGGGATATTCGCAGCTCGGTCTCCCCAGCCCCGCCCGGGGTTTGCTCTGGGCTCCGCCGCGCGCCATCTCTGTCGTACCAGGAGGGGAGATGGGGGCACTTGGCCCCCACGGAACAGGTGAGGGAGGGTCCCGGTTCCATTCGGCGCCGCAGGGAGGGCTGGCACGGATTGGCTGTGAGGAGAGGAGGGGTCATGAGCCATTGAACCCTGCTGGGGCCCAGCCTGGGAGCTCGGCTGGCCGGGGCAATGAGGGCCCGTGGCAATGTGGGAGAGCAGCAAACGTTGGCCTGAGACACGGGGAGCACTGGGTCTGCCCAGAGGGGCACAGCCGCCAGTGGGGGCACCACACATCGGGCCTCAGACTAGAGCCCTAAGCGGGACTGTTGTTAATTCTGTCCCGTTCCTGTTATTCAAGTGCCCGGCTTTGGTTTTTGCATTTTCAGCCCCCTCCCAGCCACAAAAACCTTTGATCCCGCAAATCCCGCAAGAGAGACAGATTCCCACATGCTGCTAAAAACCAACCAACCAACCGACAGAGACCGGTGGGTGAAGATATGGTCGATACCAACAGAATTCAGACCCAATTTTTACCACTAAAAGAATAAAACAAATCTTGCTTGAACAAGGTACAAACACATTGTAACTCCTGTTATCACAGAACGCGTCTCTGACCTGACTTGGGCCGGTGCATTTCCCCAGATTTGAGCGAGGGAGAGAAACATGGAGAGGACAGAGAAGCTCAAACAAAATATTTAGCAATTTCCCCAGTAGGCGACTCTTGGTACATTTATGAGATTTAATGTTTCCCGCCAATTAACGCAGCCTGGTTTTTTGCCCACCCCAAACAAAGCACATTTTATCTGCTCCCGCGGCGGGGGGTCCTGCAGGGTCCCAGTCCCACTATCAGGCTCCACCTGAGAGCCCCTCACGCCTGCGGCATTACACTGGCTGCAGGGTCAGTCTCAGCAGCTCTTCAGCACAGCCCAAGGGATAGACAGAGTGACGGGGACGCGGGTCTGACAACACAGCCAAGGACTCTGACCCACAAGTCCCCCCTGCTCTAACCACTACACCCCACTTCCCTTAGAGCTGGGGAGAGAACCCAGGAGTCCTGGTCCCTTCTCTAACCACTCCCCCTGGTTTAGTCCTGGCTCCCAGCCAGGGGCAGCTCCAGGGTATGCCGAAGGGGCGGGTCTGGCGGACCTCCCACAGGCCACCGACGGCTGCCTGACTGCCCTGCTTCGGGCTGCAAAGTACATAGATCCGCCCCTGCTCCCAGCTCTAAGCACATGGATTTCAGAGTAAGGCAGAAGTGTGTGTGTGTGTGTGTGTGTGTGTGTGTGTGAGAGAGAGAGAGAGAGAGAGAGAGAGAGAGAGACGG